AGACATTGACGCCATCCTTTGGGGATGGTTTCACTCTGGCTGGCAGGTGAGAACATGCTTGTTCCCCTTGATGGCAACATCACGTGTTGGCCGAGAACATTGTGTCACTTTTGTTCACAGCAACAATGCAATTTGCAATGACAAGTGTTTGTTTCACCCTGGCTTCTAGGGCTGCCTGAGGAATGGTAGGGAGCCTGGGGATCTTGGTGGGCCAGCTGCTTGAAAGATGATGGCATCCACCCCTGCTGCAGGGGATCCCAGGGTCACCACCCTCGAGGGGGTCAACTCTCCTTAGCAACACATCCCTTTCTTCAAGTGGAATTGTCTGCAAAAGCCCAAAATGTAAAACAGGGAAATGATGCTGTTTTGGATATTGAGGGCTTGAGGGACCACAGCCTCATCTACTTAGCATCTACCTCCATATCCCCTGAGAAATTCCTGGGAACCCTGGGGGTTCCCAAGAGCACACAAAACAAAGAGTGTAGACTGAGCCAAACTGCCTGTGTTCGAACCATGGCTCTACCACCTATCTGAATGACCTTGGGCAAGGTACTTGACCCCTCTGTGCCTCGGTTTCCCCATCTGTAACATGGGGATAACCATAATGCTTACCTCAGTTGAGGACTAAGTTATTACCTCATGTGGAACTCCTAGAACACCTGCTCGTCATCAGAGCGAGGAAGGGTCAGCTCTTCCACAGACGAAGTCACTGATGTCGGAGAGGTTGAACACCTTGCCCACAGCCACACAGCTGCTCAGTGGCCAGAATAGGGTCTCAGCCTAGTGCTCCAAGCCCAGGGCTCATTCTGCATGCCACAGAATGTTAATGGCTTAAGATGGGCATTCCCTGGGTCTCTGGGAGCCATTCAGAGGATGCCCACTGGCTTCTAGGATTGACAGGCTCTGTTCTCAGGAGCTCTCCAGCCTACAGCAGAGGGTGATGAGCAGTTTTTGAAAAGGACCTTGTTTGGCAGAGAGAGGAGGGAGCTTCAGGGAGGAGACCTCTTTGAGAACTGCCCCATGGCCGGGAGGTGCGTGTGTGGCGAGGAACCCAACTGGAGAGTGGCCTCCTACCACAGCTGCACAACTACCAGCTCGTGAGCTTGCTGACACCCACGCTGATCCTGCCACTCCCTTGCTCACAAACTTGATGACGCCCATGGCCTAAGAAATCACGCCCCTCAGCCTGAAAGACTCCCATCAGGCCCTATTCTCATTCCCAGCCTGGTCTCCACACTTCATACCCCATAATCTAGTCCAACTCCTCAGACAATGTGGCTGACACTTCTCACCCCGCTCCCCTCCCTCGCCTTGCCCTTGCTGTTGCTATTCCGTTTGCCCAGAACGCCCTACCCTTGCCGCAGCCCCAGCCCCCACACCACACCAAACGCGGCCTCCTCGGGGAAGCCTTCCCAGATAGCTCCCCAGTCCATCAGCCACTTCTTCGTTTGTTCTCCCAGAGCCCTCTGTTTACACCTGTGACAAAACTGACACCAACAACCCCAGTAATAATACCTGTCGGTTGAGTGCTAGCAATGGATGCCATTTTTATCTTTATAAAGGAGAAATTGGAGACCGTGAGTGATTAAGAAACTTGCCCAAGGCCACACAGCTATTAAGAGGCAGAGGCTTGTCAACTATAATTGAAAAATAAATTTAAAAGCGCATATATGTGTGTGTGTGTGTGCTGGAGGTGCCAAAAAATGTATACAAGTGGACACATTGGTCAACATTGCTCAAGCAGTAGTTCGCCATGATCAGAAGTGTCTGGACTCTGATGGTAACCACTTTGAGCACCTCTTGTAATTGCAGAAGTGAAACGTGACTTGTATTCATCTTTTGTTTTCAGTACATATTATTACAATTTTAATACAGTTTTCCTTTCTTAAAATGTGCATACATTTTTTTGGGCACTCTGTATGTATATATATGTGTATATATGTATGTATATATATATATATATACATGAGGCGTGATAAAAAAATACAGTGAATATTTAAATAAAAAAATTTATTACACTAAAAGACACATTGCCATTAATCCCCCTTGCTTCGAACATACTTATCCCATGGTTCTTGCCACTTTCTGAAGCAGTTCTGGAAGTCCTCTTTTGTGAGTGTCTTTACTTCATTCTCCATCATGAAAATGCTTCGTGTTACACATCGCTTCTGGTATGGCAATTTCTGTCAAAAACATTACGGTGTGTCCTCATCCACCTTATTCACTGGATCTGGCACCGTGTGACTTCTGGCTCTTCCCTAAAGTCAAAATGATCCAGGGCATCGAGGCAGCCACAATAGTGCAACTAAAGACACTCATGAAAGAGGACTTCCAGAACTGCTTCAGAAAGTGGCAAGGACCATGGAATAAGTGCGTTGAAAACGAGGGGGAGTATCTTCAGGGGGATTAATGGCAATGTGTCTTTTACTGTAATAATTTTTTTAAATTTAAACATTCACCGTATTTGCTGATCATATATTTATATACAGAGGGTGCCAAAAAAATGTATACACATTTTAAGAAAGGAAAACACTGTATTAAACTTACGTCGATGGGAACCACTTTGAGCACCACTTGTAATTGCAGAAATCAAATGTGATGTGTATTCCTCTTTTGTTATAGGTAAATATTGAGCATTACAATGTTAATACAGTTTTTCCTTTCTTAAAATGTATATACAATTTTTGGCACCCTCTGTCTATAAATAATTAAAAAAAAAAAGACAGGGGTGGCTGGTTAGCTCAGGTGGTTAGAGCGCGGGCTCATAACACCAAAGTTGCCGGTTTGATTCCCACATGGGCCAAGTAGCTGCGCCCTCCACAACTAGATTGAAACAACTATTTGACTTGGAGCTGATGGGTCCTGGAAAAAGACACTGTTCCTCAATTAAAAATTTTTAAAAAGTGACCATTAAAAAAAAAAAAAGAGGCAGAGGCTCTACTCACACTTGGGTCTTTTTCTCAGATATTTTGGAGCCTGGAGTGCCAGGCTGGTGTCTTGCCACTCGCTGGTTCTGGGGCACTCAACATACTAAGAAATAACTAGCTGAATTCTTGCCTGTCCTCTCTACCTCATGGTAGATTCTCAATAGATAGTGATTAAAGAAAGCTCAGCCCTAGAATGGAATTTACTTTATTGAAAAGGGAGTTCAACAACCCAAATGACACCCCCAGACCCTTCCAGTGGGACAGGGGCAGGCAGTTCCTGTGGAGAGAGCTGGAAAAAGCACAGGCCCTCTTCCCGAAGGCACACAAGCCCATCTCCTTACCACAGCTCTGCATCTTGGGGCCTTGGTGGCATGCCCTGTGGTATTGTGGCCATCACTTTCTCCACTTGTCCTGCCCACGTTCCCCCCCTGCCCCCCAGAAGCCTGGAGGTTAAAGATGGAGGCATCCCATTTGGCCTGAGGACGTTGGCAAATGTGCTCCTCCACCTGGGGAAGGGAAGGGCTGGACCAGTTCTGTGGTGTCTGCAGGTTGTCCAAGTCAAAGTTCTCAGGTGCTGTGGGCCCTGAGGTTGACAGTGAATTGGTTACAGGGGCTTCCTGGGGGCTGAGGCTGTGGACTCAGGACAAGTGGAAATTTAATTGGCCTGGCAGGTAGATAGGTGGGGGCCAGGTGAGGATGGCCTTTTCCCACAGGTGGAAGGCTCAGGAAATTGGGAAGGGAGAGTAGGTAGCGACCCAGGTGCCCAGGGTGCCCGAGTGGTAGTGGGAGGGAGCCCTGATGGTCCTGAGAGCTGGGATGACCTCTGAGCCCTGCTCCTGAGGCCCCACAACAAAGCCAGATAGACCGGAGGCCAGAAGCTGAAACCACAGGAACCAGGACCAGACAGCTATCGTCAGCTCTTAATTACCACCATCACTGCCACCAAAAAGCCCACACAGGCTCCTCTGTAAATAAACAGCGTCTCCTTGACTTGAGGACGCATCCCAGTGCACACATATTTACAGTGCACATGTAATCTGCACCATTCTCACTCAACTCCCCACAGGATCATTTCTGGTCACGTTTCGCCTTCCTTACATTTGGTTTGGACTCATGTTTATAACCACCTGTGAGAAGGTTAGGGAGAAGGTTTAATTTGCATTGCAGGGGAGAAAACAGTGGTTATGTGACTCATCCAAAGCCACACAGAGAGCGAGAGGTGGGATTTGCACAGAAGCCTGGGATTTTTCTCTTAGGGCAGGTCCGTGAAGATTTGCACTCCTGAAGTATAGGACCCCCGAGCTCTTAGAATGGAAGCTGCTGGGCTGCCACGTGAGCGTGTAGGAGATGGCAAACAATGAGCTCAGGGACTAAGGGATGGGGTGTGTGGTGTGCAGAGGTCAGCTGGGTGGGCTTCCAGCCCAAGGAAAGTTGGGCTGACGGAGGTGAGGGCTGATCAGAGGGTTCCAGACATTTCCTCTTTGAAGGTACCCATGGCTGTTGAGTCTTAGCCAGACAGTTAAGAGTGTCTGTTAGTGCCCATAGGGCAGATGTCCTCAGAGGGGCTGTAGGAGCTCATGATCACTGTTTGAGCAAATTCAGCTGGAGTTGTGGCTCAGAGTATGGGCGGCTCAGAGTATGGATGGGAGGGGATGGAACTGTGTTTGGCAGGAAGGCCTTAAAGAAGCAGTGGCTATTTTAGAGGGATTCAGAGGGCCTGTAGAGCCTGGTGGGCTCGGGGCACACTTGGCCTCTCGGCACACTTGGCCTCTCCTTTGAAAGATGTCAGATTTGGGGGATGGTATGGATGCTATGGGCCCATGCAGGAAGAGACCAGGAGAGAGGCCAACCAGCATAATACCCCCATTTTACAGATGAGGAAACTGAGGCACAGAGAGGAAAAGAGACGTCCCAGGATCAGCCAGCCAAAAAGAACTGGCAGTAGAACTTGCTCAAAGCTCCCAGTGTAGGAGACAGTTGGAAGGATACTGTGGTTGTTCTGGGGGGCTCTGGGCCAAAGGAGGGTGGTTGGCTCTGGCCAATGAGGGTCTGACCTGTGCATGTCCTCCCCAGGGGCGCCCACCCGCGATGTCCTGCTGGTCTCTGCCATCATCACCGTCAGCCTTAGCGTCACTGTCGTCCTCTGCGGCCTCTGCCACTGGTGTCAGCGCAAACTGGTGAGGCTCCTGAGGGCCCGGGGGCGGGGCCTGGCCCTGCACCCCGCCCCCCACAATTACAGGCTCCTGAACTCTCTCAAGGGCGTGTGTAGATGACCCACCTGCTCACATGGTCAGGCACACTTGCGTAGAAATTCACACCGGCACGCAGGCACTGCGTTTGCCTAGGTGTTGGCCCCATATGTCTGCGTGTACACCCAGAGCCACATACCTACGGACATTCGCGGACAGACATGGATCTCATGGGCATTCGCACGCTCTCCACTCCACGCATACACGCCCAATCTCCCGCAGAAAAAAGCCGCAGGCACACAAGCGCAGACTGAGAATCGAGGCCTTCTCCCCTCGGTCCGCTGCCCTCCCCAGGGCTGGGCGTGGTCGAGCCGTGTCTCCTGGCCAATGAGGCGGCGGCGCCCACCCCGCCCCACCCCCAGCGCCCCTACATCCATCCTGGTTCTCAGGGTTTGTACAAGCACAAACCGCTTCTTTTCATTTTTAACGAGAGCTGGAGAATTGACGAGCAGGATCAGGCCATTAATAAGTAACGAGACTATCAGGAGGGATATTCATCACCGAGGGCGCCGGGAGGGGGAGCCGGGCTGAGCCGCCCGCCCGTAGCCCACAGCTCCCTGAGGGTGGCCGCCCCCGGAGACCCTCACAGAAATCCCGTCCTGCCGCCCCAGCCCAGAAATGCGGTGGAGACTGCGAGGGGCTGCAGGGGGACATCCCCGAAGGTGGGCGGGGAGGGCTTCCAGGGCTGGGACCTTTCCCGGGGGTAGGTGTGGAAGAGTCCCTGGCAGGTACCTTCCATCCCCCAGATTGAGAATGGTAGGAGTAAGAGCAGGGTACCACTCTGGGAGCCCCACTCTCTCCCTGTGCAGCCACAGAGGGGCCTTAAAGACAAGGGAGGAGGGCTTTGGCCGTGGCACTCTGTGGGTGGGGGCTTCACGCCCCACTCTTATGGAAAAGAAGGGGCAGTTGCTCCTGGATATGGACCCAGCGTGCCTCCCTCAGGAAACGCAAACTCAGAAATTGGGAACTTGACTCTCCACCCCGGGATGTACAACTTCAAGCAGATGCTTCCGAGTGTGTGCTGGGACCCAGTGGCTCCTTGCTTTCAGGTGGAGCCAGGCTGGCTGCCCTGCATTGTTCCTGGATCTCCTGTGGCTGCGTCTGCCTCAGAATTTCAGGGGAGGTAGAGTGTGGGGCTTGGCCACATGCCTCTGTGTATGTGAGTGTCCTCAGAGGCCGAGGGAGTGGCTGAGCATGCGCTGCAGCCCTGTACATCTTGTTGTGTCCGTTAGGCAGTCTGTCTGTCTGTATTTGAAGGCAGGGGAAGGTGTATGAGCAGGTGTTGCCGGTGACCTTGAGTGGGGGTCTTTGTACTGAGTGTGTGGACTTGGAAGGTATTGGTGTGGTGTGTGTGTCTGTTCACCCCTGCATAGTGGGATGGGGCTCATCTTATCATGTTCCCTGAGTGAGCTGACCCTGGTAAGTGCTCCAGAGTGTGCGTGTGCGTGTGTGCGTGTGTGTGTGTGTGTGGTGAGAGCCTCGTCCCCAACCTCCCTCGCCTGGGACAGTTTAAAGGTGACAGCTTTTGGAGCAGGCGGGCAGCTGAGAGATGCAGAACCTCCCCTGGTCCCAGCCCCTCCTCCCAACTTCTCCAGGGGTCCAGACCACTGCCTGCCCTTTTGACTTGCTCCTCTGAGCTGCCCAAGCCCTCAGTCCTGCCACCACCCTCCCCCACCCCCAGGTCACAGAAGCCAGGGAGCATTTTGCCCAGGCTGTCTCCCGGCTCCATGGAAGGGGCTTTGAAATGTGCCCTGCACAGTTGCTGGGCTCCCCGTGCCCGCCTGTCCCCTCAGCAGCAGTGATGTGATACCCTGACAGCCCAGATCCCATTTCTAAACATTAATAACTTCCTTAATCTCCAGCTGGCTTTTTCCAGATCAGCCTGGCCAACCCTCCTCCCTGATGAGCAGGCTGGTGGTATAGACTGCTTAGAAGCTGTCTGATGTCTCTTGGACCCCGGCTGAGGTTCCTATCCTTGCCCTGTTAACTCCCCTCGCCCCGCCCCCCCAGTCAAGTTCTGTCCCTGGTTCCTGTCCTCCATAGCACCCCAGCTCCTGCTGCAGTGATAGTTGCAACCTGAGGGGAGGGTTCTCTGAGCTGTGGAAGGAAGAGGAGTGGCCCTGGGGTGGCCAGGCAGCCCACCCCAGCCATGCCTGGCCTTCAGGAAGGACAGCTGACCAGCCTTAGAAGAGAGTGCTTATCAGGGCCAGTATCCTGCAAAGACTAGGAAGAAAGAGGAGAGGAGGAGAGGAGGTGAGGGGTAGAGTTAGGGGGCCCTCAGCAGGGGCCCCACACTGAAGTGCTGAAGAGTAGTGGGGGCAGGGCTCCTGCCTGAGGGTCCGGCCTGAAAAGGGCGCTTGACTGCCAGGGAGGGCTCTAGGCTCTGATCGTCCCAGTTGGAACTAGGAATTGTTTGGGATTTGAACGTCCGGGTAATGATGGAAAGGATCAGAGATGGAGCTGAGAAAGGGCAGCTTTTGTGGACCCAGAGGACACAGCAGCTCTGTTTTTTTTAACTCTCAAAGTTCTGGCTCAGAGGCAACAACAGCCAGGGGCTTGGACCTCGGGGTGAGTGGGGTGCCCGAGGGACGCTCCCGGTTGATAGTTTTGAGAACTGCTGGGTACCAGGGTGCACACCCAGTACTAGAGGCTATCCGGTCCCTGCTGTTGGGCGCCACAGCAGCCACAGATCAGGGGTGGGAGCTGAAGAACGTAAGGAGAAAAGTAATATCTGTGATGAGAACCCTGAAGCATGAGGGACCCAGGGCTCCTCCCGTGACACCACAGCATTTCAGAGAGCAGGAAAAGGAGGCCGCAGAGGACAAGGGACTTGACTAAGGTGACGTGCGGAATGTGGGGCAGTGCTGGGACCAGGACCCTGGCACCCCTGAGACCTAGGGGAGCTGGAGGTAGTATGAGGGCCCTTCCCCCGCCCCACACACCCTTCAGGGGAGCGCCACTGAGCTGCTGTACTCCCTAAACAGGCTGCCGAGCCCAGGAAGGGGCTACCGCTGGCAGGAGCACCAGGAAACCGGCTGTGTGGCTTTTATTTTGCTTTAGGGAGAATAGAATAATTGACTGTTGTGGCTGTGGTGCTGGTGCACATGACTGGATGTTGGGGGAACGTGTGTGTGTCCCCACTCGGCTGGGCGGGGGCAGGCCAGTGCCCAGTGGGAGAATGGACTGCGGGGGCAGCCCCAGCCCCTGCACAGCGCCCATCCCCACCGCCCATGGACCAGAGTTGTGCTTGAGGACACTTGGTGGCAGCCAGGAATGTTAATGGTGCCAGGCTCTGCATGAGCTAAATTTAGAAACCCAAACCGAGAAGGTGAATGGTGCTCACCTTCCAGGCAGCCGGCCCAGTTGCCGCTGCAGCCAGGGCCCTTCCACGAGTCAGGGACCTGGTGTGCCCACCTGGTCCTGCCCTGCCCCTTCCCTCCCCCAACTCCTGCTGGTGTGAGGGACTCTGGGGGGCTTGCTCAGGCTGCCCCGCCTCAGAGTCAGTGGGCAGCCTTTCTTCCCAAGGCTGTTTTCCCGCATAGGAGAGTGCTCAGGCCCTGCACTGCCTCCCATCCCCTGCGTACAAGGACCCCCGACAATGACGGGCATGGCCCGCTCCCTGCCCCCTAGGCTCACATCACTGGCCACTGCCAACCTTGCCCTGCAGGATGCCACCCCACCATCTGGGGGTGGTGACGTGGCCAGTGTGACGTGGCCAGGCGCCTGAGAGCCGTCTGTCTGTGGCAGAGAGAGATGTGTTTCTGGGAGCCAGGCCAGAGCCCCAGGAGACAGAGGGACGGGAGAGGCCCCATCTCTGGGGTCAGGGGTGGGGTGCAGTCCAAGGGGGAAGGGCAGGTCTTAGGTCTCAGTGGGGCCTAGGAGCGGCAACCAAAGAGCAAGTATTGGTGGGCTGGCACCCCACGGTGGTGATACCCTCACACCTTGGCCCCCGACCTTGTTGGCAAGGCTGGGCTCCAGTCTACTCCCCTTCCCGGGGTGGGGGGGCGTGCTGGGGAGGCAGGTGGGGTACAGCTCTGTGTCCCAGGAGTGACCTGGTGCTATCTCCACAGGGCAAACGCTACAAGAACTCCTTGGAGACGGTGGGCACGCCAGACTCAGGGCGTGGGCGCAATGAGAAGAAGGCCATCAAGTAGGTGCCAGGCTGCGAGTCGGGGAGGGGGGGGGACACGCAGGCAACCCAGGTGGGAGGAGCCCCTGCCCCTCCCCAGATCTGGACACACACACCAACACACAATACACACACACACACACACACACACCAACACACACACACACACACACCAACACACAATACACACATACACACACCAGCATACACACACTCACCAACACATACACACACACCAACACACACACCCCAACACACATACACCCCCAACACACACACACTCACCAACACACACATACCCCCACACACACACCCTGGTGCCATGCTCACTCCCCACACCTCAGGGTGTCTTCAGGGATCCACCTTCTCTTCCTGTGCCCCCCAGACCCTCGCAATGTTCCAGCCCTGTTTTCCGGCTGCTCTCCCAGCACTGACTGCCTCCTTCTCAACCCTGGTTGCTGGTTCCTCCGTCCAACCCTCATATCACATACACCATGCCCAACCCCCACCCAGCTCTCCTGCTCTTTTCTCAGACCCCATCCATGTTCTCAGGGTGAACTGGAGGAGGGGGGGCAGGCCTGGTGCTGGGCCACTCCCCTCCCCCAACACCCCTCGTCCCCACTGCATGGACCCTTCCACGTCACCCCCTTCCACTGTGGACCACCTGGGCCAGCCCTCTGCTAAGGGTCCCTGGGAGATACCAGGAGAAGTCCCCTTGCCCTACCTGGTTGGGGGATCTGGAAATACGGGGCTCTCTCTAGAGGACTCTCTGCCCTCTGGCCAACGGCCTCTTCCTCTGTTGAGCCTAGGCCTTCATGGGGAGGCTGTCAGGCAGAGGCAGGGCTGGGGGCGCCTCCATCTTACCCTGCCAGCCACGGCCCTGGCCCTGGCCCTGGCCCTGGCCCTGGCCCTCGCCCTCCCCTTCCCTTCTGCCCTTCCCCGACCCTCCTTTCTCCCATTCTCTCTCCCGACTTCCCTTTTTCCTCTCCCGGCCCCTAAGGGCTTCCCTCTCCGCCCCTCCTTGCCCCTTCCTTTTTTTCATCTCTTGCCCTGACCCTGTTCGGAGCCTTCACAGAAGCTGCTGGGTGTGTGTCTGTTGGGGGCGGGTGAGTGGAGGGGTGGGCCAGGCTCGGGGTGGGGAAGAGGCTCCCGAGGAGGCCACGGGAAGCCTTTGAAGCTGGGTTTTGTTGCACACTCTCCAGTCTTCAAAGCCGGAGCTGGCAGATCTCAGGGTCTGTTGCAGAGCCCAGGCTCCAGGCTTTCTGAAGGCGGAGGAACCATGTGGGGGGAGCGCTGGGCCAGCCCAGCACCTGCGCCTCCTCCAGGCGAAGCCCCTAACTGAGTGTGTAGACGTGGCCTGGACCAGGGGGGCTGTCTCTAGCAGGTGACCATAACCTTCCTGGACAGGGGAGTGTGTAGCAGGACCAGGAGTCCTGGAAAGGGTCCACGGGAGGAGACAGGATTTCCCACAAGGGGCTGGGTGGGCAGCAGGGCCCTGCAGGCTGGGACAGAACCCATGAGGGCTCTCTACGATGAAGTGAGGGCAATAGTGGGCTGTCCCCCACCTGCCTACAGCCCTGCAGCCCCTGCCCCCTCCCACCCTGCTGAGCTGTCAGACCCTCTGCCCCAGGGGAAGGAAGCCACCATTCATGTTACTGTCCCCAGGTTCCTAGGCCTTTGCCTCTTGCCTGGGCCCAAAGCCAAGGGAGTGGCAGGAAGTGAGATTTACCCACTGCACAATCTCCCCATGGGCTTAGGGTCTCCTTTAAAGGGATTGGATTGTCAGAGTTTCCGGGAAGCTGCATTCTTTATCACTGCTTCCCCAATTGTGTTCCGCAAAGCACTGGTGCCCCATAAATAATAGTTATTCCACAAATCAAGGGTTCCATGACCAGCTAAGTTTGGGAAACACTGCACACTCTAGCTCCCTCTTGGAGATACTGATATTCGTGGATACCTTAAAGACTATGAGAAGTCCTGCACTGAAGGAACCAGTGTTTCACAAACTTATTTAATGAAAGCTCCTCTTCTCTATTACTGCCGTGGACAGCCTGAGGGACCCTGGAACTCCTTGGCACATAGGGTGGCAGGGATGACCCTGGGTGAATCTTGCTCTCTGGTCCTAGGGTTGGATGGCCCCTGGTTCTGGAGAGTTAGAGGGGAAAGGGAAGGAGGTCTTCCAACTGTTCCATCTCTCTGTTACACTTGGGAAGGGGGACCAAAGGATGTCTCTGGTGGGAATAGGGTCTTCTGTCAGGGGAGCCTCCCCAGGCCGGGGCCTCCCACTGCTGAGGGCCTGGCCTGCCTCGCTCATCCCTGGCCCCCACTGCCCCTGCGAGCTGGCTGAGGGCTTTGGCTTTGAGCCCTGGTCACAGGGTCCCCTGTGAGACATTTCCAAGGTATACTCTGGACAGAGACTGTCCACACCAGGGAGGCCCAGCCTGGCTTCTCTGTCTGTCTCGCCTTTGTTTCTGAGTCTGAGGTTGAGAACCAAAATCAAGGTCCAACTTGTCCTCAGCTCCTGGGGTTTCCAGGCCGTGCCTTCTGGCAGCTTCCATAGGACATGTCACCGAGCGGGAAGGGGTGGGAACACTGGGGCAGAGGATCCCTTCCAGGCCAAGCAGCTCCACCTTGGAAAGGTACAGGGGCACGGGGAGAGGCTGCCCGGCCAGGGACATGCCAAGGACCTGAGGCTGATTCTGTTCATTGTCCCCCCAGAGAAGGGCAGGCTCCCTTCACACAGGCCCCAGAACAGAGAACCTGAAGGGCCCTTGTGACCCTGGCCACACCCTCACCAAGGTCAAGGCCTGGAGACGCTTCCCTTTTCCGGGGAGGAAGGCCGTGACCCAACCACCACATTGGCAATGAGCAGAGAGGGTCTCCAGCTCAGCTGAGATCCTGCCCACCGTGTGCGAAGGCCGCATTTCCCAAGGTGGGAGAGAGCAGAGGAGGCTGGGGGACCTCAGGCCGATGGGAAGAGGGGATCGACGGGCAGTTCGCTGGGCCTGCCCCAGCAGCTGCCCAGGGGAAGTGGATGGAAGAAGGGAGAACCTCGGCTCTCCCAGAACGGACGGAGGCCTCCACCCGCTGCAGGAGAGCTCGCTGGCTTAGTAGTCACAGCCAACCCTCTGGTTTGACAGGCGGGGAGACTGAGGCCGGAGGAGATGGGGCCCAGGAATTTGGTGGCAGGGTCGGACCTATCTTTCAGCACTTTACAGACAGAAACCAGCACCCTCTCCTCCCCGCACCCCCTACCACACCACACCCCGGGGCCCTGCCCCTCTCCCCTCTTCTCTCACCGTCTTTCTCTCCCACCAGCTTCCCAGGGTGTGAGGCTCCAACGGCCCACCAGCAGCTCGCCTCCTCTCTGCTCGGCTTCTGCCCTCCAGTGTGTGCGTGTGCGTGTGCGTGTGCGTGCGTGTGTGCAAGGGGCGTCGGCTGCGAGCCTGCCCACCTCTCTTCCTCCCGCAGGAGTCGACCCTGGCCCACCCTGCCCTCTGTATGCCCAGCCCCGCCCCTCTGCCCCGCAGGACTGGCAGTTCTTGTTTCTTCTTGTATCTCCCTGTTTTCTCCCCTCTCTCTCTGCCCCTCCAGCGATCTAGACAGAGACTTTTGGAATAACAATGAGAGCACAGTGCAGCAGAAATGGAGCTCCTACCCTCCCAAGGAGTTTATTCTAAACATTTCACCCTACGCCCCTTATGGCGACCCACGACTGTCCCTCAAGTGAGTGACTTTACCTGGTTTGATCATATGTACCTAGTATCCGCGCACGCCCTCCTCCCCCTCCTAGCCCCTCACTTCTCCCCCTCCTGCTCCCCTCCCCCACTTCCCCACCCATGCACCCCATGGGCAGGCTGACCATGGAGACGAGCAACCCCTCCTGCCCCCCCTTGTCTGCCTGCCCCTCTCCTGTCCCCGCCCCCCCACTTAGACCATAAGCCCTGAGAGGGTAGGGACCATGTCTGTCTTGTTCATCACTTTAAGCCAGCCCCCCCCCCAGGGCCAGCCACACAGGAGAGCCCCCTCCACGGCCCCACCCGCGCTGTGCAGTCAGGATGGGGTTGCCCGTTTTGGTCCCTCCCTCCCGGTGTGGCTCAGCTGTCCTCCCTGCTGTGTGCTGCTGCCCTGGCTGCTCGGTGGTGGTCGGTGGTCGGTCGTGGCGGTGGTGGCGGTGCTGGCGGTGATGGTGGTGGTGGTGATGAACTCTGACTAACACGGCTTTCTCTCTCTCCCTGCCTGGGGGCCTCCTGGCCTGGACAGCCGCTCTTCCTCCGCCGCTAACCCTTCGTTGTCCTGTGGGATAGAGTTGGAGGTGGCTGCCCTCCCCCAACCCCTGCCGCCCCTGCCCCAGGCGGTGGGGAGGGGCCCCCCTCCGTTGTGTGGTGCGTTGTTCTCCGACTCCCGGCCCCCTGGCTCCCCTCTCTCCTTTCTGCAGGCTCTGCCGTTAACCCATTTGCAGTGCTGATGTCTCTCTCTCTCTCTCTCTGTCTGTCTCTTGTCCGTCTGTCCCTCTCCTCCTCTCTCACTGTCTCTTTCTTCCTTTTATCTGTTATTGTTTTTCCTCCTCTTTTACCTCCCCACCCCCACGTGTGACCTGCCCTCTCTCCCCCACCGCCACCCCGTGCCCCTCTGGCCCGGCTGCCTCGCCCGTGCCTCCAGTGGCACTCTCCTGTCAGGCGCCAAAGTGGCCGCTGCTGCTGGGCTGGCGGTGGAGCGGGAAGGCCGGCTGGGGGAGAAGCCGGCACCGGTGCGGCCACCTGGAGAGGACGCCTTGAGAAGCGGCGGCACTGCCCCCAGCGAGCCAGGCAGCGGTGGCAAGGCGGGGAGAGGCCGCTGGCGCACGGTGCAGAGCCACCTGGCCGCAGGGAAGCTCAACTTGTCCAAGTGAGTGATGGCCCCACGGCTGCCGGAGCGTGAGCTCAGGCCTGCCCCCACCAAGGTGGACAGCGGGACCCCTGGCATGCCCGCTGCTGCCCCCAGAGGTGCCGCCCTCGGCCCCTGGCTCATTCCATTACTTCACGAGACGCCCATCGTCCTTGCCATTGAGCACGACCAACAGCCATACAGTGTCGCATCTCAGCCTCTGGCTACTGCCCCCATCAGTCTCTCTCTTCGCCGGTGACCAGGTCATTCCATTTTCTGCCCCCAGGGGCAGCTTCATTTTAGTCCTTGGATCATCCCATCCTCCTTGTTTGGCAGCCCCATCTCAGCCTTCAGGTCACCCCTCCGTGGGCAGCAGGCCTGTGGTTGTTCAGCCATTGGACCATTCCATCCTTGGGGAGCTGGCCCACTCTCAGCCTGTGTTTTATGCCACTCATCTGTCACCAGGCCTTCCCTCTTACAGCCAGCAGATGGCTCTAGACCCAGAGGTTGAGCCATTCCATTGTTGACCATCAGGTGACTCCATGGGCTTGTACCATAGCACCATCTGTTACGTAGGCCCAGCACGAACAGCCAGGCCGTCCCCATTGGCTCCTCCTCAGCCTCAGCCATCCTCACTGGCTGTCCCAGTTGTGGTTAGCCGGCTGTCCCACTGCCAGCTGTTGGCGTTGTGTGTTTTTGGAGGTTGGGTTGTTGAGCCCCAGCTAGCTTCTCTTTTCTGATGAGGGTGGTCTGGACATCAGACAGAATTTCTATTTTCTTTTTCATAGCTGTCTGAGCTTGCCAGACAGATAGTCAGTCCCTCTCTTGGGCGATGGATGTAGGACTGGCCCCTATTCTCAGCAGATAGTATGTTCCCCTCTGCCCCACCATGGGGAAGCCTTATTCTCATCTTGGCTTTTAGAACCTTCCATTTCCCCACCACTGAGCCCTTCCAGGCTCTGAACCCTTTGAACTATGACCATTGTCACCCATTGGGACATAGGTTCCGTTGTCAGCTATTAGAACTGCCTTGTTCCCAGCTAAGGGAGCAGCCTCTCACATAGAAGGCCAGCAGCGCTGACCCTTTCTTAGCTGTTGGGCTATCCTGTTGCCTCGATTCTGGGCCCTTCTGGTTCTCTTCAAAAGGCCTGTGACTCCTGCCGTTGGAACCACGGTGGCCCACTGTGCTCAGGTCTCTCTTGCTTGTTGGCCTGAGGGAACACAGGCCAATTTTACCCCTGACATCAGGCCTCAGGAGGGTCCTGGAGGGCAGCTCCACATCCCGTCTGAGATCTAGACCCAGTACCTCGCCCTCTGTAAGCTGCTCCGGCCACAGACTCCAGGCTGGCTGAGACCTCCATACCTCTGCTGGCTCGAGGCCTGGAGGAACCAATTTTAGTTTCCTGTGACTGAGAGGTTGTAAATTGGACTAATTTTGGATATGATAGGAAACCAAAATGAGGTCAGCAAGGAGGAGGAGGCGGCCGCCCAGGTGCTGTCCTCCCCCTGCCTCGGTCTGTCCCCGGGGAGCTGCGAGCCTACCTGGCCAGCCAGGCCTGGGCCTGCCCCTGGTGGTAGCACTGGTTCCAGGCCTGAGCCAGGCAAGGTTGCTGCCCGCTCCAAGACCCCAGCTAAAGCCATGTTTTGCACCTCTCTCTCTCTCTCTCTCTCTCTCTCTCTCTATCTCTCTATCTCTACCTCTCTATTCTATCTCTATCTCTATCTTTCTATTCTATTTCTATCTCTATCTCTCTTTACTATTCCCTGACTTTCTTTTTCTCTTTTTCTCTCTTTCTCTCTCTCTCTGCCCACAGGGGCAGCCTAACTGTTGTCCTTTGGTTCCTAGGGTAGGCTCGGGGGTGAGCAAAGCTGAGGTCTGGCTGCAGTGGTGAAAGCGGTTCCAAGGGCCCTGGGGTCCCCTCCCTTGGGCAGTTTGAGGGTACGTGGCTGCCCTGGTGCCCTAGATCAAGAGATGGAAAGCTCTCTCTGTAAAAGGCCAGGTAGGAAATGCGTAGGCTTTGCAAGTCACATAGCCTCTTGCCATTGTAGCCCCAAAGCAGGCATAGACAGGATGCACAGGCAAACCTTGGAGATGCTGGGAGTTCCATTCCAGACCACTGCAATAAAGCGATTGTGGCAATAAAGCGAATGTCGCAATGAAGCGAATATCTCAATGAAGCGAGTCACATGAATTTTTTTTGTTTATCAGCATATATAAAAGTTATGTTTATACTATACTGTGGTCTATTAAGTGTACAATAGCAGCATGTCTAAAAGCAATGTACATACCTTAATTAAAAAATACTTTATTGGTTAAAAAAAAGAAACGACACTGATAGACTGGCTCCACCCAGGATTGTCCCAAACCTTCAATTTGTAAAAAGCACAGTATCTGTGAAACACAGTAAAGCATAAGCACCGTGAAACCAGGTGTGCCTGTAAATTCATGACAGTGGCTGTGTTCCAATAAAACTTGATTTCCAAAAACAGGTAGGCCAGGGCCCATTCCTTGCCCTAGTCCACTGGATTGGGTGACAGAGGGAAGGAACCGAGGAGGAGGACGTTGGGACCGCTGAGGCCCTGGCCCTGCCTGTCAGATGTGCTGAACTCGCTAGCCAGGGCAGGGAGCAGGCAGCTTGCCCAGGGAGGCCAGGAGTCTCTGGCTCCTCCTATCTCCGTCTCCGTGAGGTATTTGCAGCTGCCACAGGGCGAGTTGACTGTACCACACATCCCTGGCCCGGCCTCATTAGGTCCTCATGGCAACCCTGTGGCAGAAGCAGCTCAGCATATTTTTCAGCCCCATTTCACAGAAGAAGAAACTGAGAGGTAAACTCATTTTTCCAAAGTTCCAAAGTTAGGAAGTGGCAGAGACGGGTTTTGAACCTATGTCTCTAACCTCATCCTGCCTCTGATCAGCCATGTGTTTCCTGTCTGTCCTCGCCCCCCCCCCACCGCCCCCCATCCCGGTATTTTTCTGAGATGCTGGTGGACCTGAGGCGGGTGCCCTCTTTCAAATGCATAGAGGACACGATAGTCACGCTGTTTTCCGTCAGAACTGTGGCAAAGTGTTCAGACGAGCGGTTCCTAGAGCTCCCACCTCATCTGCTCCTTTCCAAGGTCCCCTCCTCTAACTAGGAGTCATTCTCCAAGATACCAGGAGGGGACACAACCTCAGAAACAGAACCCTGGAAGGAGGGCAAAGATCTGTGCCAGAGCCTGAATCCTGAGGCAGCACTGGCCACAGAGCAGAGGCCTGGGAGCCTGAGGACACTCCCGGCTTCCATGGACAAAGCATAAGAATTGCCACCTTCCCCGAATCACCATGTGTTACTAGGCCAGCTCTGCACTGGCCTGGATTTTCTTGTGTCTCCAAAGGCTAGGAGCACTGAGAACACAGAGGCAGACTTTCCTGGGGTCCCCCCCACCCCCGACCGTGAGACAGCGGGAGCGGGTGGCAGGCAGCAGCTCCCTCCATCCATCCGCTCCCATTCCAACATGACAGGCAGCGCAGGGCCTTAGGGCCCGCCTTCACCACGCAGCAGCCTCTGCAGCTTCCATGGCCCACTCAGGCCAGCGGAGAAGTCAGCTCAGACAGGAGGAATTTGGGCGCGAGCTGAGTCAAGGCCAGAGGGTGGGCTGGGCGGGGCCCACCTGAGGGCCTCAGGGTGGGCTTGGGGCTTTGTGGCCTCCTGGTGAGGTGGTGGCAGCGGCGACAGCAGCAGCAGCGAGCGGTGACAACTGCGATGGAGGCCTGGCGAGGTCTGGCAGAGCGCATCCTGCACTGGGGCCTCCTAGTCCTGGCTCTAGACTTCTTTCTCCTCCACTGTGATCCCTTCACCTGCTTCTCCTTTCTCTCCTCTCCTCCACCCGCCCCAAGTTTCGAGGACTCCACCCTGTCCACGGCCACTACCCTTGAGTCTATCCCCAGCTCCACGGGAGAGCCGAAATGCCAGCGACCCCGCACTCTGATGCGGCAGCAGAGCCTGCAGCAGCCGCTGAGTCAACACCAGCGGGGCCGGCAGCCCAGCCAGCCCACCACCAGCCAGAGCCTAGGCCAGCTGCAGGCCCACACGGCCTCGGTGCCGGGCCACAACCCCCGGGCCTATGGCCGGGGCCAGGCTCGGCAGGGCACCTCCGCTGGCTCCAAGTACCGGGCGGCCGGTGGCCGCAGCCGCTCCAACCCAGGCAGCTGGGACCACGTGGTGGGGCAGATTCGAAACCGAGGCTTGGACATGAAATCCTTCCTGTAAGTCCCCCCCTTGAGCGGGCTGACCCCCCACCTCCCCGACCCAGCATCTTCCCCCTACATCTCCTTGGTTGCCGGCTGGCCCTCCATCTCCTGGGCAGAGTGCCAAGCAAGCTCGGCCACGCCCTCCCCAGTCTCTTACGGCTCATGGCTTGAGCCTGAAGCGCCCCGTGAAAGGGTTCATATCCGAGCCACCCTCTGAGGACCCTAGCCCACCCTCAGTGCCTCGGGACTCAGAGAAGTTCCCCACTAAAAGTAAGTGGAGACACTAGGGGAGCTGCTGAGGTCCCCAGATCTGTCTCCTCTTTGCTGCTGGTGGCCTCCCTTCCAGCCTCACCCTCTCCTCCTGTGACCTCTGTCCCCCCCTCCTCCCAGGCCCTGCCTCCTCCCCTCCAATTTACTTCTTCCCTGTAACCCGACTCTGCTCGCCGTCCCGCCCCGGCTTCCTCCCTCCCTCTCACTTCCCCTGTCCTCTGTCTCCCCGACCTTCTGTAGCCACCTGTCCTCCAGCTCCTGGCCTGGCTCCCGTAATGACCCATCCCCTAAGGACAAACCTTGGCTGTTCCTCCCAAAGCTCCAGAGAACATTGTTTCTAAATCAGAGCCTTATTTCAGGTGTACAAGTCCGAGAGGTACAACTCACCATCAGTGTCTCACCTTAGCCATTCCCCCAGCCATGTGCCTCCCTCCCCCTCTCGCTGGTAGGGACCCCCCCACCCACCCAGGGCGCCTTCTCCCCGGCATTCCTCTGGGCATCTGTGCTCACCCTCAGGACGCAGGGCAGGCCTGGGCTTCTGTCCCCGGTACCACCACCTCTGCGGGCCTAACATGACCTTCCTTCCAGGCTCTGGGGACTATTCCCCTTGGCCAGCTCTTTCCTGGGAGCGGTGTTCGCAAGCAGGAGACCAGCACACCAAGCCTGGGAGAGGAGAAAGGGAGGAGGAAGGGGAAGGCCAAGGTCAAGGCCCAGCTCATTGGCAAGGTGTGGGGATGCTGGAGGCAAGCGGGTCCCTCACACCATCCTGCCTCTCCGACTGAGACCCGAGCCCGAATCTCCCGGGCACACGGGAAAGCTCTCCCTGGCAGAGGCACCCAACAGAAGAGGCTCTACCACACCAGCCTCCCACTCTGGTGCAAGTGACCTGTGGCCCCAGCCTGGCCCAGACATGCTGCCTGTGAGTCTACTTGGCAACTCTGCGCAGCGCATCCGCTAGGGCTCTCCCCGACCCAAGGACCCCTGGGAATCCAGCTGGATGCCTGCATGACAAGATGCCCAACAGAGCCTCCTGGCTTCCAGGTCACAGTTTGTTTTGAGACAGATGCTGTGGCGCTGGCGTGGGTTAGGAGAATCGAGGGAATTGCTGCTGCTGTGGCTTGAAAAGAACAGAGCCAGCCGGTCCCCTGCACCCCTCTGCTCCTTGCACAGCCACCACCCTGCCTCCTGTTCTGGCAGCCATCAGACTGGGGCAGCGGCTATCCTCAGGCTCTGGGAAGAAAGGAGCCAGCTACAGGAAAGCCCCTGTTCACCACCTCCTCCCTGCCTACCGCCCCCCTAGTCAACTAGGATTTGATGAGCGGCTCTCATGTGCCAGCATCCTTTGTCCACGCTGCTTCTGCCCACTGCAGTTTCGTGCCCCTCACCTGCTGGCCACCTCCAGGGCTTACCCAACCCCACACCTCCTCCGGCTTGTAGTCCCTCACAGCAGGGGTCAGCAAACTGTGTAAAGGGCAGGTTATAAATATTTTAGGCTTTGCGGGACACATGTAGTCTCAATCGCATTTTAAAATGTACAAATCATTCTTGGCTCGTGGGCTGTACAAACATAGGCCACCAGCTGTAGTTTGCGGCCCCCGGACCCCTGCCTTACAGTTTAGCTTCTGAGGCCTTTCACTCACCTAAGCACGGGTGGCCCATGTCGAGGGTCAGAGCGAGAGGGCTAGCCAGGCCCCCCAAGATCCCACCCCCCTCTCTCAGGGAGGAAGGCATTCCTCCTGCTTCATGGGTGTGATCCCCCCAACACCACCACATCTCCCCAACTCTCCCTGTCTTGCTGCCCCCCATTCTCGCCCTTGTGGCTTGCAATCTGGAGATAATGACAAATTGGGAATTTCTGCAGAGGAGCCATTTTGTTTTTAAGAAAAGCAAAAGGAGTATCTGAAAAATGCATTAACAAAGGAGAAACATGTTGTTTTCACTGGGTTTGCCTTCCCCCAGCTCAACCAGCTCCCAAGCAGGCAAATGGAATTTTACCAACTCTAAAACAGTACCGGTGGGCAGAGAACAAAGAAAGTGAGGACTCGTCCTGAGGGAAGGGATTGTTTCCCAAAAGTTAGATGCCAGTGCAAGCGTCAGCCTGGAGTGACCGTGCCCAGGACAAAGACACAAAGACAGAGTAGGCAGTGCAACCAGTTAACTTCCTCCCCTCCCCAGAACCTACTGCCAGCTCTCATTTTCCAAGACCCGGGTGCCTCCGCCCTCCCCTCAGAGGCTGTTTCTCACCTGCTAAGAGCTCCCTTTTGATAACCTGTCTAGAAAAGAGCCTTGCCAGCTGCTTAGCGTTTCCTCGCCCTCCTGGATGGGGGCGGAAGTGGTAGGCTTCCCAAGATCCATCCCCCTCTGGGACGTGCCACCAAGTTTATCATCTTTCCCTTGGCTCTTCTTGAGATGGGTTTCACGCCTGCCCCATCTGAGAATTCCTCTCCCTTTGTCGGATGACAGACCCAGTGCAGGAGGAGCGCCACAAAGTACCCAGAGAATGCCCACGCACTCGAATGGCTCTGAGGGGCAGCAGGCCATGTTTATCCCTGAAATGGCAGGCAAGCTTGCAGTTGCCCAGTGGTTCTCTAAGAATGCTCCACACTAAACATGTCACACCTTGACCTCTGGCCCCATGCTGCTGCCCACATGACAACGCCAAGAGGGGCTCACCTTCTCCTTGTCTGCCCGCGCCGCTCTGCCGGGACTGTCCAGCCTTTTCCAGACTGCCCTCGCTGAAGACACAGGCTCCCTCGAGTCCTGCTGGACTTCTCCAGACCTCGCCAAGTTCCTGTACTTTCTCTCTTTCCGTCTTTGCCTTTTGGTTCCTGCTGGACTGCTTCTCCAAAGAATAGCCCCTGAACTGAACCCAAAAGCCTTGGTGGTTACTCCCTGGATCTCCAGGATGGGGGACACAGGAGAAGGCCCGCAATGGCCAAAATGCACCATCTGCCGGAAGGAACTTCCATTCCCCTCCGAGGGGCTGTGTGTCCAGGGACCTGGGGGAGGAAGCTGCTATTAAGCACACCTGGCTGACCATGACCCAGAGATATCTTTATGAGGGGCTTCCATAAGCACAGTGTGCAGTGCCCAGCTGGGACCCCAAACCTGCCTGCACGGTCCTGAAGCAAGATGGCGACAGAGCCCCTCCCCCCTCCTCCCAGGGGCCCCGATGGCCAGAGCCAGTAGCCCCGGGCCTTTGTTCAGCTGGAGATGAATTAGCCTTTGGAAGTCTGCTGTCCCAGGGCCTGGGCTCTGCTCCCCTCAGCCTTCGCTGAGTGTCCCCTCGGAACCGTCCTAGTCACACACCATCTTAGCAGGCCTCTGCCCAGCCCCTTCCCTGTGTCTCCAGAGAATCTTGGTCTGGTGCCCAGGTGAGCTGGGTCTCAGACCACGGACACCGCCCCTCCATTCCCTCCCTCCTTCCCTCCCTGCCTCCACCCCACTCTGCTCTACAACTGTTGACAGTGCTGAAGTTTGGTTTCTCTCCTGCAGGGCCAGTTTCTTACGCTGTTTTCTTCTCTCTTTTTGTCTCTGTCTCTGTCTCTGTCTCCTTCCCCTCCCTGCCCTGCCCATGGGGCCACCTCCTTTCTCCCCGGCCGGTGGGCTGCCCACCCCGGGCAGGGAAGGCCGGATGGTGGTGCTATCCTTGGTCTTAGGGCTTTCGGAACAGGATGACTTTGCCAATATCCCTGACCTGCAAAACCCAGGAACCCAGCAGAACCAGAACGCTCAGGGGGACAGGAGGTACGCGCTCAGGCGAGGGCCCGCGGTGGCGGCGGCAGAGCTGGACGAGGCGGTGTGTCTTCCATGGATGCTGGAGCGGGAGGACGGCCCCTCCCCCGGCGGTGCCCTCACACACGGCCACCCTGGTGGTGTCCCTTGGGTCTGAGGCCAGTGCGGCCGTCCTGGGACCATTCTGGATCAAGCCTGCTCCCCGGGCATGCTTGCCCTGCCCGGAGCAAGCCAGCCTTTCTGCCCCATCCTGCTTGGCTCCCCTCTGCTGCCTCCTCATCTTTCATCTCTGCCCCACCCCCGACCCAGAAATCCCAGTTTCTCCGGCGGTTGGTGGATGGGGGGGATGTTAGGGAAGGGGCGCCAGCCTGTTCTCCCTCATCCCCGCCACCTCAACCTCCCTCTTGCCTGGAGGTCCCCGCTGGGGTGATGGTCACACACCCCGATGCAGAGGTGTGACCGGTTGGTTGCTCGGCTGATGGAAGAGGAGCCCCTGGAGGGGAGGGTCTGGGGCATGGGAGAGGCCTGCCGACCAGAAAGAACCAGCAAGGCAGCCCCTGAGCCCAAGGTACCAAGAGGAGTGATAGGGTGAGGGGCCGAGAACAACCTGTCACTGGTAGCCCTGCCGCTGGCCCTCAGGGCCCTGGGGGGACCAGGGCCTATGTGGCCACAGCACAGGGCTGGGCATTTAACGGTCCACAGCCATCAGGGAAGCATGTCCCCATCTTGGGAAGGGTGTGGAGAACTCTCGCGGGGAAGGGGATTGGGAAAGGCTGGAGGTCCCAGGGCTCCGTCAGCATCTCGAAGGCGGGGTGGTCCTACACCTGGCCTGGCTGCCTCCTCTCACTTGACCTTAGGCTGGGCCCGGCCACACACGTGTAGTCACAAGCGGAGGGCTCCTCCCCTTGGTCAGGTCTGCCTCTCGTCAGACCAAAGCCCTGCAGTGCAGGCGAGCATGTGGCCTGGCAGCCAGGACACCCTCCTAGCTCCGGTGAAGCTCGTTCTGCGGCCTTGGGCATGTCACAGCCCCTCCTGGACCTCTGCTTCCTTGTCTAGCAAATGAAGGATTGGACAGGCTGACCCTTCCGGCTCGGGCTTGCTAAGCTTCTAATGAGGGAACAAGCCCTTGGGCTGGGGCACTTGTCAGATCTTGTCAGCCAGGCGGAGACCCTGACGCTTGCTCGTTAGGAGGCCTTTAGGTGCAGGAAGGAATTGTCCCAAGGTGCTGCCAGGGGCCTGTGGGTTAGGGAAGGGTAGGCAGAGACTTGCCTGCCCCTCCGGTGGCTTCTGGAGACCAGCACTCTCATGCCTTCCCACCCAAGTCCACATGTCCATGGCGGGCAAAGTCGGAAGTCCCCAGAGAGTAGGAGGGGAGAGTGGGACCAGTTCTTTCACTCGGTGGTGCAGATGGTATCACACCATGAGCCCAAGTCCTGGGATGCGGGAGGAACACAGCCTGCCACCCCCAACCCACCTGGTGCTACAGGAGTCCTGGCTTCCTGGGCTGGGTCCTCCGAGCTGGGTCACAGGCAGGCCAGAGCGAGGGCCATGGGGAGAGGGCCAGGGGCCCAGGCTGGGAGGCTGCAGGAAGGGGGCTGGAGCCCTCGGAAAGCCTGCTAAGCACCTGAGCCCCTTGCCTGGAAAGGTGTGAAGCGTGAGGGAGCAGATGCAGGCTGGAAACGAGATTTCACATCACCCGTGTGTTAATTAACCGGCTCCATTTTCACCGCAGCCTATTTTTACCTCTTTGCCACTTAGGTCTCACTCCATGTTTTAACACACCCATCCCTTTTGATCATTACATCAGCTGTCCCCTGCCTTCCTGGGAAAGGTGGGTGTGGAGGTGGAGGCCCGTGGGCCCTCATCCCGACCCAGCCTGACTTTCCGAGTGGACCCATGCCATTCCCACCTGTCACGCCCATCCCATGCTGGATGCTCGTTTCTCATGGCCTCTGGGGTGTTTGCGAGGGTGCCCAGAATCGAGCGCTTCCTTCCCAGCACTCTCCCCATCCTGAGCTTGGCATTGGCACCACCCGCCGGGCCCCAGGCACCTTAGGCTCCACCCCTCTGGGCTCCTGGCTCCTTGGACCTTGGAATGGTAGGCTTGGGTCAGCTGTCCCTTCCCCTTCAGCGTCTGCCTCCGTGTCCCCTTCTCTACCCAGCTGCCCTTTGGCCAGATGTCTCTGGGATAAGGGGTGGGTGGCCCTTGGCTGTTGTTGGGGAGAACATTCAGCCCCCGAGGTCTGTTAGCCGTAGGCCCCTTGGAGACAGAAGGACCCCAGGAGGAGGAGCAGCCACCCCAGGTCCCAAGCAGGAAGAGGGTGTATCGAGCAAGGAACACGGGATGGGAGGGTTGGTCACTGTCCCTACTCCCAGGATACTTGGTGGCTGGATGGGGAACTCCCCATCCAGGATCCCTCAGCTCCTGGGCCTCAGCACAGTGGACCCCAAGAACTTCAAAATGCTCTTGGGCCCAGGAGGGAGGCCAAAGCTGCCCCTAGCGCCCACACCCTGCTGTGCCCATTCCACTGTCACCCATTCTGCCCTGCACCCATCCCAGCCTCTCGCTCTCAGCCATCCCTTTCACCACTGCTTCTTGGGATCCAAATGGTTTCCACCATGGCCCCACCCCCACCTGAGCGGGGACCTGATCACCCCCATTGCTCACCTTGCCCCAAAGCCACCATGTTTCTCCTGTTGCAGTGTGTGTCCCCCGCCTCCTCTCTGCCTCTCCTCTCGGCCGCCTCGCTCCTCTTTGTCCCCTTGTCCACCCTGCAGCCTTCTTCACTCGTCTCCAACTAACCTTTCTTGGCCTCTCTCTCCCTCTCCTTCCTCCCATCTGCTCCTCACAGGGATGTCCCTGGGCCAGTGACGGGCCCCTCCGCCTCTCCCTCTGCCTCTCTGTGCACTTGTCTCTCTGTCTCTCTCTGTTCTGTGACCTCCAATAGCTTCAGTGGCGCTGACCATCTTTTCCCAGGCTGCTTTGCAGCTGTGCTGACGCTGTGGTGTGGCCAAAAGAACTCCAACTTTCTCATACCTTCAGCAGTCAATCTCCGCTCTCTCCTCCTCCCCCCCTCTATTTTTAACCTGACTTTACCTCTCCAGCTATTTCAGTCTCCTCTTCCTCCCTGTGCCTGCCTGCGTAAGCACGTGTCCGCGCGTGTGTGTCCGTGTGTGTGTCCGCACATGTGTGTCCATGTGTGTGTGCGCGTGCTCTGCTGTGGCCGAGCCCCTGGGATAGGCGCCCGTGTGTCCCCGGGCAGAGTGGGGGTGTTTCCGCCTTGTTCAGGCAAGGCCAGGTTCTCACAGCAGGTGCGTCGTGTGTCTGATTCTCAGGGTGCCTGTCCCTGAGACTGCTCCCTGCTTTTTCTGTTTCAGTTCGTCCCAATTCACCAGCACACCTTGGCATGCCCAAATGTGTTTCCTCTCGTGATCGAAGTGTGCGCATCGCTGTATGTGTGTCATCTTGCTGCTCTGGTTGACTTGCCTTGTCCCCCGTGCCATTCTCTCCCTGTTCCTCTAGGTGTCTGTTGGGCTTGTGTGCGTGTGTGTGTGTGTTGTGTGTGTGTGGCGCACGCAAGCGTGTTTGTGTGCATGCACATGTGCACACATACCTTGCTGTTGGGTCCTGGTGTCTCCCCTCCAGGGCCTGGCATATTCCATGCATGTCTGTCTGTGCCTGCGTGGCCGACTGTGTGCTGGTGGCTGGTCCATACTGAGGGCCATGGCTTGTGTCCAGCCTGTGTGGTCTCCAAGTTTGGCTCTGGTACTCTCAAAGCTGTTGTATTGTAGCCTGTCCCAAGCCCCACACTGCCAATCTCCCCATCTCCTCCTCACTCACTGCCTGCCCCCTCCTCTCCTCATGGGCTGTTCCAGCCTGGTCCCTAGGCAGGCTTTAGTGCCCCCTTCCTGAGTCCCAGCTGGACACAGCCTGGGCTCACCACCCAGCCCCGAGGCCAGAGAGCCTGGCTGCTTGGGAACAGCATGGAGGCGGGGTGTAGACAGGGCAGATGGGGTGTAGACAGGGCAGATGGGGTGTAGACAGGGCGGGGCAGAGCGGTTATATCCGGGGCTTCTCGGTGGTGCTTTGTCTTTCTCTGACCCTGGGCGAGAGCCTTCTCAAGTGTGCAGTCCTCAGAGTGGGAGACGGGTGGGGACTGGGGACCAAGAGGGTAACGACTTGCCCTATCCAATAGGTGGCTATTTAAATCTAAATGAGTTTAAGTTAAACAAAATTAAAAATTCAGTTCTCGGTTGCACTGACCACATTTCAAATGCTCAGTAGCCGCACATGGACAACACAGATATAGAACACGTCTGTCATCATAGAAAGTTCTACTGGGCAGAGCTGTGTGGACAGTGGTCCTGACCTCACCGGGTCAGTCTCATGTCTGAAGGGCACCTAAGTTCTCACTGAGCCTGAACGAACACAGGTGGGGCATCCAGATAGGCACTCTGGGTGTATTTGCATAGGGTAATGATGCAGAGAGGCAACTGGACGCTCCCCCTCCCAGGCTGGGGGGAGCAGGGATATGGGGCGGGGGTGGGGCGCTCTGGGGAGGGAGGCTTGCTCAGAGAGCACCATGCAAGCAGCGACTGGAGGATTCGGGGGTTTCTGGGGAACAGGAGTGGGAGCAACCCACAAAACAGTACCCACAGGGACAGCCAAGGAGGATCACACTGGGGTGGGGTGCGGGGGGAGACCAGGTCTTCCTGTGGACCAGAGCACAGCTCCTACTGGACACAGGAGGTAGCAGCTGCTTGGGTCTCAGAGAAGGTCCTACTGCCACCCAGGCCCATGGCGCCTAGCCCAGCCCACCTCCAGCCATGCTCATTCGGACTCCCCCTGCCCCCAGGTTGCCTGCAGGAGGGAAGGCAGTGAACACAGCCCCAGTGCCCAGCCAGACGCCTCACGATGAGTCTGACCGCCGGACCGAGCCACGTTCCTCCGTCTCAGACCTTGTCAACTCCCTCACCAGCGAGATGCTCATGGTGAGAAGGGCTGGAGGCCTGGGACCCAGGCAGGAGAGCTGGGCTGGGAGACCTGGGGTAGGGGGATGTGTAGAAATTGGTGACATTGTGGGATTCATCCACTCAGGCAAGGGAACCAGCATGGTGACGGCGTGAGCGAAACTTGGGTTCTCTTCCCAGCTCTTTCACCAAAGCAGCCTCTCTGTGTCTCGGCTTTCTCATTTTTCAAGTGGGAATAAGAACACTCACCTTCCTCCAGCCTCTCTGGGTTGAACAAGGGGCCAAAGAAAACCTACTCGCGTGAGATATTTTTATGGTCCTAGAAGAAAAGGCTAGTGGACAGAGGACTTGGGGCGGAAGCTGCCCCTTCTCTCTGAGTGGCTTCCGATTGAGTAGAGCTCTGAGGCAGGGCCTCCGGTGGAGCCTCTCATATCTCCATCCCAGGGACTTTCTCCAACCCCCATTGCTGGAGGGGGGGGCAGCTGAAGCCCACAGAGAACAGGAGTGGAGGAACCCCCTGGTCCTGATCTTTATGAGGGGACAGTTGTGCTGGGGTTCTCCTGTGCGCACCCAACCCCACCTGGACCCCAGCCTTACAGTTCTGGGGCATTTTTGACCAAGGCAGAGGTTGTGGCTTTACATAGCACCCCCTGGTGGCATCAGTGAGTCACAGCTAATTGCCCTGCCCGTGCTTTCCAAAGGCTCCAGCTTTGCAAGCTGGAGTCAGGGCAAGGGTTTGGCAGCTCTGACGGCCCAGGGAGGCTTGGGGAGGGTGTGAGGGTGGGAGCCTAATGCCTGCCGTGTGCCTACTGGACATGGCCTGGGACTAGTCACTTCCTCTTCCTAGACTAGGTTCCCTCCGCCCTCCCTCCCATGGAGAGAAGGAAGATGCCGACATCATTCAATTCAGAGTTCCCTTGCTCACTGCCTTGGCAACACAGCCCCCACTCTCCCTGAGGCTCCCAGAACCCCCAAGCCCCACCCTTTGCTGTTTAGGGTTCCCGGCTGGCTCTAACCATCCATCCCCTGCCCTTTTCTAACCCAGCCTAGGGATCTTGTTAAAATGCAGATCCCTGGTCAGCAGGCCTGAGGTGGGCCCAGAGGCTGCATGTCTCTCAGATGCAGATTAGAGCATCAGACTCTCCCTGTTCCGGATCTGGTCTCCCTTGGGCCTCCTCACCGCTCCCCTTCTCCCCACCTCCCAGGTGCATGCCTGGCCCTCCACTGCCCTCCTGTCCATCCTCCCCAACCCGTGTAGATGGCCCGGCCATTGTCTCCTCTGGACAGGCCATCGCCGCAGTCTGTCCTGCCTCCCTACAGTCTCTTAATCGGTTACAGCTTCCCGGTAGCTAGGTTCCCAGAAGGGACAGCGCCTTCCCAGCCAGTTTGCCTGCCCCTTGCTGGCACTAGGGCGGGGCAGACAGCCACAGGCAGTGGAAGGAAACACAGGCCCAGTGCACTCTCAGCGGAGGCTCAGAGGTGGGCAGGCAGGGTCTAATGGGCCAGCCCAAGGCTAAAGCCAGGTCGTTGGCATCAATAGTAATGATACAGAGGAGCAGGGTGAAGAAGGAAACCGCGGTCTGATCTCCAGGCCCCAGGCTGTCATAAGCTGGGGGTCAGGAGAAGGAGTCAGGTACCCACAGCTGGCCAGAGGAAGGGACTGCGGGGAGGGGTTAGAAAGGAGGCCTGGCCACACCTACATCTGAGTCACCCCTTCCCCACTCCCACCCGAAAGGTTTTTGATGCTCACTTCTACAAGAACTCACGTAGCACCTCCCTTGGGGCGTGGGGGGGGGGGTGGCCAGCCAGTTGCCATGGAAACAGCTCCAGAGCTGCCCCAGCTGGTTAATTAGGGCTCATGGCTGTGGTTCTGGAAGGCTGGGAACAGGCACAAAACCACTGCCTGCTTCCAAGGTGAAGCCCACTTGGCCCACCCATTCCCCCAGACTACCTTGATTGGGAGCCAAGAACCAAGTGACTAGAGAGGGTCCTCAGGTGGGTCTGGGGCCACCTGGACTCCAGTCACCAGGAACTCCACCCCAACTTTTGGAGGAACGGGGAGGGGCAAGTGGTCTTTGCAGGCTCCACGACATCAGTGGCAGCGGCCCGGCTGTGGAGCAGGACTATGGAAGGAACGTGGGCCTGTTTAACCCTCCCAGGAACCCTGCAGATGCAGAAACAAGTTCAAAGGGCGTGGGCTGGTACGAGGAGAGGGAAGGCTCACCAGGGGAAACGTGCATCTGGATAGGGGAGCCACACTCTCAGCGGGCCTGGCGTGGAGCTTGCGGGGGTACCTGGATCCAACTGAGGGGCAGGAGCTGGGGGGACCCTCTTCCACTGTGAGGAAGACTGGGGAAGGCACTCAGTTCCCCTTCCAGCTCCAGCTGGGACCAGGGCTGTGGCTGGTGAGGGTCCCAGACACTGGATCTGAGTGAGAGTGAGGGCAGCTGGCAGGGTACTCATGGCTGGCACTAACCTGGGTTGGAGCTCCCACTCACTACTGAATCACAGGTGACTTGATGCAAGTTAGTAATCTCTCTGTGCCCCAAACCAAATTGGAGCACAGTCATGCGGGCCTCTTCGGGGTGCTGCAGGGAGTATGAGGGCCAAGCACCTGACACAGGGCAGGGCCAGGCACATGGCAGCTACTATTATTTGTATGACTTGGATACTTCTCACCTGGGGCAGGTGAGTCCTCACTGGCTTGGGGGGAAGTCCCAACATGGCCCTGGGGTGTGGACCTGCTTTCATGGAAAGAGCGGGCTTTCAAGTCAGAGAGGGTTCATATGGCTTTGCAATCTTGGGCGTGTGACTTAACCTCTCTGAGCCGGTCTCCTCAGCTAGAGTGGTGATAACTGCCTCGCCTGCTGTGGTCAGGATTGAGTAAGAAGGTGATGTAAGAGTCTTCTGCCATGGTAGGTGCACACTATACGTATTCTTGTCATCTGTATTATTTAATACTTGAGAGCCTGGGCCCACCTCTCCAGGAGAAAAGAGGGGGCACAGAAAAGACTCCTGTGGGGGAAGTGGGGAGAGAAAACAGGCCATCAATTTCATCTGAAATGTACCGGGAGCCCCACCCCAGCTCTCATCCAGTCACCTGAGGAGCTTTTAACTCAGGGACGCCTGGGCCACATGGACCCTCTGGCTCTGGGGTGGGACCCAAGTGGCTGAGAGTGGGCAGGATTCTAAAACCTCCCCGGGTATGCCCAACGAGCAGCCACAGCTGAGAAGACTTGGCTGGGAGACCCTCCCCCCAATTACTTCCTATTATTGCAGAGCCAGCCTGGGAATGGGACACGCGTGCCACCCTCCACGTGTCCGTCAGTGGCTGGGTCGGCCCAAGTGCCACCCATGGGGGAGGGGGCTGAATGTGTTGTCGCCCTCCCTGCCAGTGGTCCTCAGCCCTGCTGTGCAGTACCGACACCTGAGGCTCCTTTTAAACTACTCTGCAGTCCAGCCCTCCCCACCCCACCCTCAGGTCTCCCCAGCCCCATCACATCAGGCACTAGGTGGGGAATGGGCCTGGGAATCTGTGTTTTTTTAGTATCTCTGCCTTACACAAATAGACGTTGCTCCGGAAAACTCGACTCTCATTTTGTAAATTGCATCATCCGCAAAACCCCAGATAGCCACTTTCCAAAGAAACATCACAGCAAAAAAGCCTTTGGAGATATGAACAATCTCCCTCATGTGTTTGGTAGCCCAAGTTTTTGTGTTGGTGTATTTCACAAAATACACAGAAATGTCCCCGCAGGGCCGCGGGAGGGCGGGAAGCTGGAGGAGGCAGCTGGGGGTGCAGGGTGAGCCAGCCGAGCCGTGACGAGGGGAGGCAGAGGCAGCCTGTGGCAGAGCCGAGGGGGTGGCAGACCCGGGACACCCAGGAGAGGCTGGGGAGAGGGGTGCACACTGCCCTGGGGTTCAGCAGACAGGGGCTCTGCCCACCCTCCCTGTGTGACCCTGTCCAAGGCACCTGCGCTCTGCCTGAGCAGCCTCTCCATGCTGTGAATGTGGGATGGGCCCCACCAGCCCCCACATCGTGACCAGAGGGAGAGTGCGGCCCTCAGCAGCTGGCCTGGCCTCCGGCACAGGGAGGCCTTCTAGCTGTGCTGGGCTGCAGTGGAGCCTTTGTGGAAGCAGAACCCTCCCCAACGATGCCGACCTCTCCCCCGCCCCCAGCTCTCCCCAGGCTCCGAGGAGGATGAGGCGCACGAGGGCTGCAGCCGAGAGAATCTGGGCCGGATCCAGTTCAGTGTTGGCTACAACTTCCAGGAGTCCACGCTCACCGTGAAGATCATGAAGGCCCAGGAGCTGCCGGCCAAGGACTTCAGCGGCACCAGTGACCCGTTTGTCAAGATCTACCTGCTGCCAGACAAGAAGCACAAGCTGGAGACCAAGGTGAAGAGGAAGAACCTGAACCCCCACTGGAATGAGACCTTCCTCTTCGAAGGTGAGACTGGTGCCACCCCCGCCCACCCAAATTCCCTCTTCCCCTCCACAATTCCCCCACCCAACCACACACACGTACATATGTGACCCCAAGCACAAATGCACATGTATAGCTGTACACACACACACACACACACACACACACACACACACACACACACGGGCACTTGCACGCGCCTACACAGCACGTGTCTTGCCCAGTTAACCTGATGCACTTTGTGTCTGGCTGGGATTAGGTTACAGCACCGAGTGGAGCCGCCATCACATCCAAAGGCTGAGGAGTAAAGCTGGGCCACCATGGGGACTTCAGCTCAAACACAGGATTCATCCTGAGGAGGGCAGGCAGGAAGGGAGGCACCCACAGGATCGAGAGGTGGAGCATCTGGAGTGGCCTTAGGGTACTGGTTAAGAGCACAGGCCATAGCACAGGCTGCCTGAGTTTGGATTCAGCTCTGGCACTCACTAGCTGTGTGACCTGCGGCAAGTTTCTGAGCCTCTCTGTGCCTTGGTTTCAAATCAGCAAATTATAAAAGCACTTACGACAGTGCCGGGTATGCAGAAAACACTCTACTATATGTTAAAAACATTCGTCTGTCCCCAGCCTCTGACCCCTCTCCCCCACCTGGGACAGGCCCCTCCAGATGCCCAGGAAATGTCCTGTCTCCTGCAGGCCCTTCTTTATCTCTTATCTCTGAGAAGTCACAGTAACCAGGAAGCTGGTGTGCGATCAGGGAGCAATTTCTGTCCCAGGCTCTTTGGGTGCCCAGACCCTACTCCCCACTTAGAGAAGCCATAAACCTTTCCCAACCCCCTGTTGAACCAGTGAGAACAAATCCTAGTTCTCTGGAACCTTCAGTGTGCCCCACGGACTCTTCCATCTGGTGTCCTAGCCATCTGGCACCCCACCCCTTCCCCAAAGTGGCAGCCAGCTCACCCACTAAATAAATCATTGAGGGTGAGCTAGTGGGTGCTTGTATGTTTTGGGACCCTCCTCTTCCCCAGGCAGCGTGGGGGCCGGTTAAGAGATGGCTCAGCCAGCAAAAGGCTCAGCTGTCTGGAGGGGTTTGAAGCTAGTTGGTGGGTCAAGGTTTATGGGCAGAGCTCCAAATCACTGGTCCCTGATGCAGACATTTACCTAGCATTAGCTCTGAATGGGGCACTGTCCTGGGTACTGGGGGTACAGAACAGAATTATGGCCCTCAAGGCCTTCCTGGTAGAATGGAGGACATAAATGTGTAGATAATTAAGCCACACGCTGCATGTTGCGTGTGTTGCAGGAACTTAGTATGAGCTCCCTTTGGTGTTGCTGAAGAACATTTCCCAGAAGAGGGGCCATTCAAGATGGGTTGTGATGGATGAATAGGAGTTTGCCTGCTAGGAGACCGCCTCCTCTGGTGTTGAAGAGAGCTAACTCGGGGGCAGGGACCTCTTGGAACCTCCAACATCTCCAGCACACTTGTCCTCATGCATTTCACCTGAATAGATGTCAAGGGTCAGCTGGGCAAGGTCCCTGGGGGACTCCAAGATGAGCAAGACATAGCCCCCCTCAATAGGAGGAAAGGGCTCTGAGGAATTCAGAGGCTAGGGGTTCAGGGAACACAGGATTTCCTCTTCCACTGTATCTGCCCCTGTCAGAGGCTTCTCTGTGTTTCTAGCATCTCTGGAATCCTGCAGAGCTCTTCATCTTCTCTGTCTGGTCGGGCTAAGGTGTTAAGTGTCCTTTCCTTTCTGCTTACACCCTGGGTCAGGATCTGATCCCCGCAGGCCTCCAGGCTGGCCTGCGTCCTCTGCACCTCCCAGGCTGACCCCTCCTACCGAGGCCCAGTGACTCCAGCTTCAGACCTTCCCCTGGTTCCCTAGGACCTTTTCCTTTCCATCCAAGCTCCCGGCCCAGCTCTCCCTCCCGCTCCACCCGGCTCACCCCTGCTGCTCCATCAGGCCATCTCACTGGCACTTAGTCATTTATTCAATTATTGATTCACTTAACAAATATTTATCGAGTGCCTACTACGTGCCAGAAACAGTGTTAGGCGCTGGGATCCGGTGGTGGAGTACAGAGATACATACCTTCCTGGAAATCCTAGCCTAGTGAGAGTCACACTCAAGGAAATAGGCAGATAAATCACAGACTGGGATATGAGCTGAGAAAGGAAAATGCTGGAATGTGGAACAGGGGGTCCGACCCCATCAGGGATGCCAGGAAAGAAAGCGGACATGGGCCATGGTGGGGGCCAGTGTGTGCTGCCGAGGCAGGAAAGGCCGGGAAGAAGGCTGGTGTGGCCGGAACCCAGTCATTGAGTGAAGAGTGGTCACAAGATGAGGGGGGAGAGGACAGCAGGCCAAGTTGTGGAAGGAGCTGAAGCCAAGGCAGGGCACACGGCTTTTATTCTAAGTGCACTGGGAGCCACTGAAAGGCTTTAAGCGGGAGTATCATGATGCGATTTCTATTTTTAAAAGCTCACTCTGGCTGCCGTGTTGAGAATGGGCTGTAGGAAGAAGTGAGCAAACGGGGAGTTTGACGACAGGTGACTGTCTAGGCAAAAGGTGCCAGTGGCTTGGATGAGGGAGGGGACAGTGGAGAAGGGGGCAGCTGTGGGACCTGTTGAGGAAAGACGGGAGGACGGGCTGACCATTGGAAGGAGGAGAACGGGAAGCACGTGCACTCCTTTCTGTGCCTTTATCGTGTCCCTGTCCCGAAGCCTCCGGGGGCTTCGCAGGCAGGGCCGCTTGCCCAGACCTGCCTCAGGATGACAGGCAGTGGCAGGGCTGCGCAGAGAGCAGGAGGGCCATGGCACGGCCCCCAAGACGGACACACAACGAATGAGTGAATGAATGGTCCCAGTTCTGCTCTTTATTAGCTGTGGGACTTTGGGCAAGTGATTTAAGCCGACTCAGTCTCCTCATCTGTAAAAAGGACAAGATACCATTCACCTCAAAATTGTCAAGAGAGACACAGATGAGACAATGACAGTTCCTGCTAAGGCTTCAGGAAGGTCTGAATTCAGGTGTGGCGTGCTGTGCGTAGGCAGGGCGGCCGCGGGAAGTCACCAGCCCTGCTCGTCTCAGGCCTTCCTACCCCACACGGCCTGGTGGCCCCACTCTTCACCTGCGCTGTCTGTCCCCCAGGTTTTCCCTACGAGAAGGTGGTGCAGAGGGTCCTCTACCTCCAGGTCCTGGACTATGACCGCTTCAGCCGCAACGACCCCATTGGGGAGGTGTCCATCCCCCTCAACAAGGTGGACCTCACCCAGATGCAGACCTTCTGGAAGGATCTGAAGCCATGCAGCGATGGGAGTGTAAGGCCGCAGCTGAGGGCCCCTGGCTAGGGGCTGACGGGTCAGGGCTGGCAGATCCAGTCCTAGACCCCCCTCAACCTTAGGAAGGTCAGGAGTGCTGTAGGGAAGGGGTGCAGATGGGTGGCCCCAATGGAGCCCAGTTCCCACCAGCGGTCTCAGCGCTGGGGCTTGGCACTTGGGGGACTTGCTTGAGCTGTGTTAAAGAAGCTGGGGCTCTGTTCAGGGCGTGGGGTAGGATGTGGGAGCCCTGTAGGGGGCGGTGCACAGACCTGCCAGATGAGGGGAGAGCAAGTGTTGACAGAGGTGGCAGACAGAGAAGGGGTGAGCACCCACGTCAGGGTGGAGGGGGCCTGGGGCAGTGGGGCCAGCCAGAGAACTCAATAACCATTCCCTCCGCCTAGTCCCTGCGCCCCTCCTGTTCTCCCTTTGAGGGGAGATGAGGGGAGTAGCCCCCCACAGCTCAGCCTCACCCCTCCCCTTGTCTCTCCCTCCCAGGGGAGCCGAGGGGAGCTGCTCTTGTCTCTCTGCTACAACCCCTCTGCCAACTCCATCATCGTGAACATCATCAAAGCCCGGAACCTCAAAGCCATGGACATCGGAGGCACATCAGGTGCTGGGGCTCCTCGAGGCAAAGGGCAGACGGGAGGGTCTGGTGACATGGGGGTCATGCTGGATGTGGGCAGCAGGGTCCGCTCTGTGCCCCTCACTCCCGATCCCCAAGCCCCACCTCCAGTCTCAACTCCTCCACCCTAGAGCCCTGGGTGGGCCCCTTTGGAGCATTTCTGAGTCAGGGTCATCTTGGACTCTGTCCTTCCCAGAATCGGGAAGAAGGGGACACTGGTGAGAAAACCTGACTTCAACTCCAGCTCCAACACTACTTGTCTGTGACCTCGGGCAAGACCTGGCCTCTGTGGGGCTCGGTTTCCTTGTTCAAGTTCATAGGAGGACCCTAGGTGATGGCTGAGGTCCCTTCCAGCTCCTCCATTTGCTGATCCCCCAGGTCCCCCCATTCTTGCTTGGGGCTTTCCTGGCCCCCTGCAGAAAGCACACAGCTCCTCCTGCCCCAGCTTCCACACCTGGAGGGAGAAGGGGATACTGGGGAGCCCCTCTGACCCTTCCCCTCCTCCTTCCCAGACCCCTACGTGAAGGTGTGGCTGATGTACAAGGACAAGCGGGTGGAGAAGAAGAAGACGGTGACGATGAAGAGGAACCTGAACCCCATCTTCAACGAGTCCTTTGCCTTCGATATCCCCACGGAGAAGCTGAGGGAGACGACCATCATCATCACCGTCATGGACAAGGACAGGCTCAGCCGCAATGACGTCATCGGCAAGGTAGGGGCAAGGCAGGTGGGTTGATGCACACAGCTGGCGCCCCACAACTGTCTGTCCTGACAAGCAGCAGCAGGCATAGTGGCCGAGCGCAGGGCTGGACAGCCGGAGAGATAGGGTCAGTCCCTTCCCCTCTCTGGACCTCTGTTTCATCTGAAAATGAGGAGATTGGATGGGATCCACCCTAAGTGTTGTACTGTGGATGGGTCAGCTGAGGACAGACCGCTGGAAGGGCAGGGAAAGAAGTAAGTGTGAGGAAGAAGTGCCTGGATCCCAAAAAGAGTTTTCTGGACAAGACCCTCAGGGTAAGGACCTCGGGAGCAATGTTACCCAGGTTCCCATCAGCAGAGAGTGAGCTATGTGGGGGGTAGTGTTGAAAGCTGCAGTCAGACTCCAAAAACTTGGCTTTGCCTTTCACTTCATCTGCTACTAAACAGCTATGTGTCCTTGGGCAAGTCACTTGCATCTCTGAGTTTCAGTGTTCTCATTTGTAAAATGGAGCTACTAGTACTGACCCTACAGCATTTCACAGGGTGGTATAAGAGTTGCCTGAGATATGTAGACATTGTCTGTGTAGAAAATGACCTCTCCTCTTCATACATTAGCCAAACAAATCTGTGCCTGGCCTTGAGTTTTTCCAGAATGTGCTTCTGTGACATAAACACTTCCATTTTTGTGCTTTGAAATGTTATTCCTGTGTTTATTTATGTTTTAGCGTTGAGAGTGCGGGCTTGGGAGTCAGTTTGCCGGTATCCAGGTCTCAGCCCTACCTCTTTTATTTTTTTAATAAATTTTATTGGGGAACAGTGTGTTTTTCCCAGACCCATCAGCTCCAAGGCAAGTCGTTGTCTTCAATCTAGTTGTGGAGGGCACAACTCAGCTGTGGGAATCGAACCGGCAACCTTGGTACCATGAGCGCTGCACTCTAACCACCTGAGCTAACCGGCTGCCTCCCAGCCCTACCTCTTAACAGTCATAACCTTTCAGAGGCTCATTTCCTCCTCTTGAAATGAGTAAGAGAGTCCCAACCTCACAGTGTGCTGGGAAGAGTCAGCAACACAGGGGAGATGCTTAGCACAGTACTTGGAATGTATATGTTAGCTACTGTTATAATAAAAGTTATTTTCGAAACATCCCTACTAAGGGCATGTGTAGCCATTCAGACATGGAGTTTTGACCAGGAACAGTGCAGGAAGCCAGTGATCCAGGCAGGTGGAGGGAAAGGGTAGATGCCAGGAGCAAGCTAGGTGAGACATGGTCGCCCAGGGCATTGCCCTGTGTGAGAGAAACAAGAAAGGGTCCCCACAGGGAAGGGGGCCAAGGTGGAGGCACCCCTCGGAAGATGGGAATAGAGAACTTAGCTATTGGGGGTGAGGGGAGTAGATGCCTCAAAGAGCAGAGCTGGCCCTGCCTGCTACCTAGCAAGGCCCAGGGAACATGGCTGGCTGCTCTGTAATCACAGGTGAGACAGTTCTCCAGGATGTCATCACCCATACCCAGCGGGACCGTCTGTGCTGAGTGAGGCTGGGGCCCAATGAGCCCCTCCTTGACCAGCTCAAGCCAAGGGCCAAGTAACCATATCTATTGCTAAGCTCTTCTGTAGCTTAGCCTTTTGGAGTTGGGTGTTCTTTAGATACCTTTTGAAACAGTCCTACCTTCTGTTGGCTGAAGCAAGGCGGAGGTGAGTTTGTTCCAATTTTGGCCTGGGTAGCTTAGGGAGCCCTATGCTCTTAGTCACCAGTCACAAGGCTGGGAGGTCATGTG